AATAACTCCTCCAGGATCATACAGGTAGGAAGTCACAAAACCAGGATTCAAACCAGGTCAGTCTGATGCTAAACCCTATCTCTCCACAAGATGATTTACTCCACAATATAACTTACGTGCTTGCCAGGCACCAAGCTAAGTGCTGCAAACCAAAAGCAAGAGACCATCTCATCTCCGAGAATCTAATGAGATCACGTGGGAGGAATGATCGCAGACTGTATTTTCCCAAAATGGCCCATTGCCCCGGGAGCGAGGGTGGAACTCTGTGTCTGCCTCGGCAAGTAGAAGTCACACTGCCTGGTGCTGAGGCTGGGCAATAAAAGGAGGCACTGTGAGAAGTTACGCGTGGACAGGAATGGAGCTCCTGCCGGCAGCCAGGCTCACCACGGCCCTGTGGCCCACTGCGCACTGTCAGAATTCCTCACACACAATCTCTGAGCACCAGAAATAGCCAGTTCGTGCCACTAAGTTCTGGGAGTGAGTTATAAGCCATGGTCACTGGAATGAGAGGTTCATAAACTGTAAAGTGCTATACAACAGTCAGATGTAGTTAGTAAACCTAAGTTTGACATAAGGGGATTGTGTTAACGTCTTAGGAAGTAAATTTTGTCTTAACCAGGGTTCTCCCCCAAAAGCAAAAACGGAGCAGGGGCTTGTATGCAGGGACCCACGTTTTAGAAATGATCCATGGGTTCAGACAGTTCAAGAATGCATTATGGAGGACTTCCATAGCGGTCCAGTGGTTAAGACTGGACTTGCGACAGTGCAAGCGTGGGTTTGATCCCTGGTCAGGGAACTAAGATCCAGAATGCTTCACAGTGCATCAGAAAAAAAAAGAATGTATTATGGAGTGGATTCCCGCCGTGCATGGCTGGGGCTCAGCATCTCCTAGGACCCTTGAAGAATGGCCCTCAGCAGGTAGGATTGGTCTACTGATTTCAGCCCTGCTGGTGGAGGGCTGCCCTCCGGATGTTAAGTCCTTGCACTTGCTGTTGGGAATGTCTCGGAGCAGCTTGCCTGGCCACGAGCCGAGGGGAGAGAGCTGAGTCTGCACTGTGAGCTGATACCACATATGCTGGGCTGACAGTGAAATGAAGCATAAGAGGGGAGCAGCACACTGCAGCCTCAAGGCAGTGCCTACCTCCGCTGCCCCGGACGGAGGCCAGCAGGACCAACCTCTGCCTGGACGGCTTCCCCACCGGCCGTGGGGCAGCCTGCTCGCCTGTGCATCTGCAGGCCCGTGTGAGGCCTGGAAGCCGCTGTCCCCCAGAAGCCTCTCTCTGCTGACAGAGCCCCAGCAGGCCATGCTTGGCAGAGCCTGGGGCTTTGAGGAGTGGCCTTTTGAAGGAAGTCAGTGTAGAGGGTGAGGCTGCTTTATTCAGACCCTTAGTTTTTCTCCAGAAGCTTATGAGGTGGTGAGCAGAAGCCTGAAGGACACGGGGTGTCTGAGTCTGGGGGTCATCTGTCCAGGCTGGGACGAGGGCAGGGTGCCCTCTGCATGACCCCACCTCTGGGAGCTGGCTTGCTGGTCAGACCCCTCCCCCAGCTCCACTCATCTCTGTTATGGGACATTCTATACTTAGTGGTCTTCCAAATGGAGAAGATTCCCTGCTCCAGGGCCTTGCTTCCAGCCTTTACAGTTTTAACCCTCTTCATCCTGGTTGTGGGCTGGGAGCCGGCTCCGCACCAATTGCAGGGGAGGCCTGGGCAGCCGGGAACACACGGAGGGAGGAGGGCCTGACTGTGCTCCCCCTGGGGGACTGTGGAGGGGTTGCAGCTCGCTGGAGGAACTTAGATTTGGGGAAGGACTTCACGAATTACACCAACACCACCTAGCATAGGCCAGGAACTGAGCGTCCCCTCTGAGAGGTTGAACTTGAACCTGTATGCTTAAGAACCCAGCCCCACCCGCTCTCCCATCACCTTTCCTTTACCTTCGGTTCTCCTAGGGCTTCCCTGGCGGCTCAGACAGTAAAGAATCGCCAGCAATATGGGAGACCCAGGTTCAGCCCCTGGGATGGGAAGATTCCCCCGGAGAAGGGCATGGCAACCACTCCAGTATTCTTGCCTGGAGAATCCCATGGACAGAGGAGCCTGGTGGGCTACAGTCCAGAGGGTCACAAAGAGTCAGGCATGACTGAGCAACTAACACTTTTCACTTTCACACTCGTGGGTATAGGTCATGGCTCCTTTCCTCCTGCTTCGTTCCAGGGTGATGCGTGACCTCCCCACTAGACCCAGGGTCCTCTGCCGGGAGGGGTCCTCACCTTGGAGGCTGGTGCAGCTCTGTCCCTCAGGTCTGCTTAGGACTGAGGGGTTTCCTGGGATGCGAGAGTTTCAGTGTAAAACCCAGAAAGTTTGGCAAGTTTGGCCACCCTAGATGAGCGTCTGCTTTCATGTTTGGAGGAGACAACCTCATCAAAAGGCAATTGCAGGGTTTCCCTGGTGGTCCAGTGGAAGACTAAGACCCTGAGTTCCCAATGCATGGGGGGTGGGCAGGGCGGTGGGAGGTGCAGGTTCAATCTCGGGTCAGGGAACTAGATGTCACATACCACAACTGAAGGATCCTTAGTGCCACAACAAAGATCAAAGATCCTGCATGCCCACAGCTAAGACTTGGTGCAGCCAAATAAGTACCATAAAAATATTTTTTAAAACCCGGCAGTTACAAGGTGTGCACTAAGCTCTACTGGACCCCGGAAAGGAAGGCTTCTTGGCAGAGGTGCATCCTGGCTGAGTCTTGTTAAGAGGATATAAACCCTTAAAGTGAACAAGCAAATGTGGGAGAAGGGATAAATAGGGCAGCAGGTTTGGGGCTCCAGGAATGTGTGTGTCCTGTAGACGCCAGTGATGCAAATCCCCAGGCCAGGCTGCACCCCGTCCCCCCCAGCTGCACCCCCCTCCCACCCAACCGCAGTGGAGCCCGTCTGGGGTGCCCAGATTTCTGTGTGCTCAGCCCTGACAGAGGCTTACTTGGAATCTGGTAATAAGAGACAGTCTTATTCAGAGAAGATCCTTGCTGGGGTGTTGGAGGCGGGGGAAATGAGGCAGAATTGCCCCAGCAATGGGGATCCCAAGACCCTGAAGGGAACCTGTGCTGTGATGGAGGCGAGGGGAGAAGAGAGAAGTGGGGGAAACAGGAGTCCTGAAAAGTCCCCGGGGACTGGGCTTGGAGTCCTTGCTCACCCTGCAGAGATGGGGTTCTACGGAATGGAATCCTGGCCCTTCCATTGCTTGGTGATGCAGGCAGTGGGTGGCATGTAATTAAAGGAAAGTTATCTCTCGGGGGTCCCCAAGGACTTGTAACCATCATTATTCACTCACACATCATCTGTTTCAGGGCAAAATGTCCCAGTACAGACCACCTTGGCAACATGAACAGCTTCCTGAATTCCAGGCCAAAGAGTCTTCTATCTGCTAAGTTCTAGACCCACTCCCCTTGGATGGCCAGCAAGCTCCCAGCTTCTTGCGTGGGACCCAGGAGTCCACCATTAGTCTGGACCCAAAGAGTAAAGCCAAGATCAATCCTGGATCTTACTAAGGATGGGGATGAGTCCTCCCTGAGGTGACTGGTGAGGTAGTGCTCCTGAAAGTCCATCTGGGCCCAAGTGTATCACAGTCTCTAAGGGAGCTTGTTACAAATGCAGTTCCCAGGCTGTGTCCCTGAAATAGTAAACGCTAAGCCTTGGGGGTAGGACACAGGAATCAGCATCTTCAACGGTCACCCTAGGAGAGTCTTCTGCTTAGTATAAAATTCTTTCTTGCGGGGTGAGTGCTATTTGTTTTAATAAAAGACAAAGTTTTGTGTCAAAGAAATTAGTCTCTGCTACAAAATTTCCAGGATGAGTCTAACGCAGGATTTCTCAACCTTGGCACAACTGGCATTTTAGACCAGATAATTCTTTGTTCTGGGCATTGTCCTGTGCACTGTAGGATGTTTAAAAACATCCCCACACACTAGATACCAATAGCATCCTACAGTTGTAACAACCAAACATTTCAAAACAGCTCCAGATACTGCCAAAAGTCCCTTAAGGGAAAAATCCTGCCCTCAAGAGATTTTCCTTATGAAATCTGAGCTGAGTCCCATGTGTTGCGTGTTCTTGGAATGACCTCCAGGCCAGGCCCTGCCACATGGAACCCCCGCCCTCCTCACCACTTTCCAGCTGCAGGTGGAGCTGAGGCCAGTTCACACCTTCGTTCTCCTGGTTGTGGTGAAGAGCCAGGCCCTTTAATAGCTCCCTTTCTCCTTCTCCCTTGTGGCTTGTTCCCTGGTGGCTCAGATGATAAAGTATACTCCTGCAATGTGGGAGACCTGGGTTCGATCCCTGGGTTGGGAAGATCCCCTGGAGAAGGGCGTGGCAATCCACTCCAGTGTTCTTGCCTGGAATATCCCATGGACAGAGGAGCCTGGTGGGCTAAGTCCATGGGGTTGCAAAGAGTTGGACATGAGTGAGCGACAACAGTTTCAGCTTCCACTTCTCCACCCTTCTACCTAGTGCACCCCCTTTCTGCCACATCTCATGGGTGCCTCTGCCACCTGGCCCCTTCGCTCGCCTGAGAGACAGAAAGCAGACCAGCAGAGACAACTGGTGCTAATGAGGCTCCAAGAAATGCCCTGCGGGGAAGAATTCTCCTTTCGTGAAAACAGGAAGTTTATTTTTGTGCTTTAAGTACACACGGCCACAGTAGAAAAATCTGACAAGTATAGAACAATATAAAGAAGAAGGCCACCTGTAATTCCACTGCCCACGAAGCCCCGCTGACACCTAGGAGGCGTCCCCCTCGGCCCCCATGACCTCCCCGGCTGGCGTGCAGGCAGAGCACCTGGGTGAACAGAACACTTGACCCAGGGCGATGAGAGCCATTCAGCATTCCAGGTGAAACGTGTGCTTTATTCAGAGCCGGTGGTGACCCGGGGCTCCGACTGCCTGTTTTGCAGAAGATCTTGTGTTGGAGGGTCTCCCCGCCTCCCCTTCGCAGGGCCAAGCTCCTGCCGATCAGAACTCGTCCTTTATGTCAAAGTGGGGCTGGTCTTCAGGCTTGAAGTCCAGGTTGGGGCTGCCATCCTCATTGAGGATTCTTCGGGCCGTGTAGCCGACAATCGGGTACTTGGCTTTGTACACTCTGGTGAAGACGTCATCCAGGGATTCCAGCTCCTCGGCCGTGAGGCCCGTCTTGGGGAGAAAAGCCCGAGAAACCCAGGGTTGGGAATGAATGAACTGGACTTGGCCCCGGCCTCTCATACCTCCTCCCTGCCTTATTCTCCCCATATCCTTCAAGCAAGAGAAAAAAAAATCTCTTGAAAATCAAATCACGGACAGCTGACTTTTTAAGAGGCCACCCTTTGTGCTCATGAGTGTTGCGGGGGGAGGAGATGGGGAAAGCAGGGGCCACATCAGGTTGCGGGGTTTGACTGATGTGGGAATGAAAGGGTGCAGAGAGCTCCCAGGCGGTGCAGGGGGGCCGCCGTGTGCGGTCTGCAGCCAGTGACTCCCACCGCTCTCTCCCCTCCCCCCATTATAGATCTGCACACCCTCCCCGCTCTGTAATTTCTTAATTTGCTTTTATAATGTTGTTGCTCAGGTCTGACTCATCTGAGCGACACAGGAGTGAATGCCAGCCTTTCTGTTGGGATGACTGGGATGACCCTGAAATGGTCTTTGTTAAGGCTGTTGTCTCCTTCACAGAAATATGAGCACAGGGGAGCCTCTGCTTCATCCCGAGCGACCAGGAGTGGCTTGGGAAGTGGGTCTCGGAGACGAAGAGCAAAACACCCAGGGGCTGGGGGTGGCAGGGGCAGACTGTGAGGGGGACGGCCCTGCCAAGGCAGGCGGGAGCCAGGCTGTGAGGATCACTGAGCTTGATCACAAGTGCCCACGAGTCTGGCCTTGACTCTGCAGCAAGTGGGGAGCCATGGAGGACTTTTGAGCTTTACCAGTGAGATCTCTACTTTAAGAAAACAACCGGCTATCACATGGAGTGGACTGGAATGTAAACAAACTAGTTAGGAAGCTTTGCTATCGCCCAGGGGTGTGTGTGTGTGTCAGGGGGAAGGCCATGGCCAAGGCGGTGGGGCACTCTGACAGAGGCTCAGAATCTGGCTCACAGTGTCATAGGTGAGGTCTGCAGGGTCCAGGGACATCTTGGCCACCCCTCTGGTGGAGTCCTTCCCGGTCAAGGCGTTGTAGGGGGCTCCTCGTCCATAAAACTCTGCAGTGGGGAGGACAAAAGAGGATATGAGTGGGTGTGCACAGAGCAGCTAGGAGGGCTTCCGAGACCAGCCCCCCCAAATCCTGGAAAGACTCTGGCCTGAGGGGAGGGACGGCAGTGAGGAGGGGAAGTCCAACAGGCCACCCCAGCTATCTGCTTGAGTCCCCCAGTTCAGAGTAATGAATAAGTCATACATGCTGGGCCAAGAGGTGACTTTTTAAAACATACAGAATGAAAACAATCTCTTAAAAATATCTAAAATGTAAACAAGAGGAGTGTCCTGTCTGCCTAAATGCTCACTGAAACCAAGTCTATTTCCCTACGTCTTTGGTATCAAATAAACAGCGAACCCTTACAAGACAGCTTCCATGATATCAGCTATAGTTTCCATCAGGAAAACACAGAAGGGCATTAAAAAGTTCTACAATGTTCTATGATCTCAACCCTTTGCTAAGTAAAGGGTTTTTTACTAAGGCAAATCATCCAGTTTGACTCTGACTGTATAGGCAACAGGGAGCCATAGAAGATTTTTGAGCAGGAGCATGATATTAGAAAAACACTGCTGAAGAACAGCCCTGACAAAGACGGTGAACTCAGAGACTTCCCGGGCAGTCCAGCGAGGGTTTGATCCCTGGATGGGGAGCTGAGATTTTGCAGGCCACACAGCACAGCCAAAAAGAAAAAAAATAAAAATTAAGAACTCACTCTGGAGGGAAAGGACTTGCCCGGTGTTCCCTCTGCTCCCTCACGCCTAGAGCGCCCACTCTGGCCACCACGCCCCCCACCCCCAGAGGTAAGGGTTCATGAAACCAAGCCACTTACCCTTTCCAGAAGTGACATCGAACACCACCCCCTTGACTGCCATGTAGATGGGCTGATCTTCCTAGAAAGCAAGAGGGAAGGTGTGAGGAGGAAGCAGAGAGCCCTGCTCTTTTGGCTCAAGTTAGTAAAATCTCTTCCCATCATGGGCAGTGCAGGGGGCAGAGGGTGAAGTTACAAAGCAGCGGCTGTCAGCCAGTCCTCAGCCAGCATATGACCCTACCTGCAGAATCGCGCCCACTCACAAAACCTGGGGAAAGTTACGAACCTTCATGACAAGTCTATGGCAGTATCTTTCTTTTAAAGAAAAATCAGGAGCTGAAGCAGCTCTATACAGATAAAAAATCAAAAGAATATTGAAGGAGTTACTTAAATTGGTTCAAATTTCCTTTCATTTTCACCACATATGGATGTAATCAGTGCAAATGATCTATTGTATGTTTTGCTTCTTATAAGTAATATTGGTTCATACAAACATTGTCATGTGTTGAAATAACCAAAATAGCTGTCACTTAAGCAGCTCTATCTTATTTTAGTGATGCTGTACCTGTTTACTATTCTTCTATTTTGGCATATCTGGATGGTTTCCAATTCCTTAGCACCATAAATGGCAGCATTATGAATACGTTTCAAATTACTATCTAATGTGTTGAGTTATTTCTTTGAGGCCTATTTCAATATATTAAATTCTGGGGCCTGAGCAGATGAACAACACAATCACTTTTTATGTTTTACCAGCTTGTCCTTCAAAAAGTCATCTATGGTGCTAGAAATATACAAGCAATGCCGTTTCCTTGCAGCTGTAACCGTGGGTTTTACATTTTCCTTTTTGCTCTATTTGTGGGTATTCAACAGGAAGGACAGAAAATAAAATGTAGTTCCTAAGTGACAGTTAAGGACTCTGGAGAAATTTTAAATTAAAAACAAATACTGTATATTAACATATACATGGAATCTGGAAAAATGGAACATGCTAAGTCACGTTAGTTGTGTCCCACTCTTTGCGCCCCTTTGGACTGTAGCCCGCCAGGCTCCTCTGTACATGAGGATTCTCCAGGCAAGAATATTGGAGTATATTGCATGCCCTCCTCCAGGGGATCTTCCTGACCCAGGGATCGAACCCGCATCTCTTGCATTTCCTGCGTTGGCAGGCCGGTTTTTTTTTTTTTTTTTTTTTTTTTTTTTTACCACTAGCAGCACTTGGGAAGCCCCCAGAACACAGTAGGTTCTGTGAAAGACACCAGCAGCCGGGACCCCTGTGTTTCGTGATCTCGAATCTGAAGCGTCCATCGAAGCTTCTGTGCAGCTCCCTGCCGAGAGTCCGACCTCTCAGCACAAATCACAGTGCAGAGTCTGGGACAGGAGGGTCTGCCCTGGCTCTCATCCAAAAGAATTGTCATACAAATGAGATCTCATCGCTAGGTACTTCAGAATAACTTGTTATACAAGGTCCACAATCCCACAGCACAGACTCTTAGGGGTCAGATGTGTTTTGGAATTCAGAATTTGTCAGATTTTAGAAAGGTATCTTAGGGCTCATATAGGAACACCTACAGGGGGTCTGAGGAAGCACCCCATCATCAAGGCTATCAGTATTTTACAGTAAAGCATAAACGTGAATATTCACACTAAGTAGGATAAATAAAGTCTATAAATAGAATTGCATAGCTCCAACACGGTTCCATTACCAAAGGTGTTCAGATCAGGTGGGGTTTTGCTGTCAAGTGATATTTAAAAAGCCTACTTTTCAAAGCTTCTTTTCTTCGGTTTCTGAACTATATAAGAGGATTATGGGTCTGTTATACTGCCTCTTATTTGTATCTTTAATAATAAACTAATAAAAATAATATTAATACCAGCTAAGATTGCCTAAGGTTTAATGTGCTAAGACTACTCCAGGCCTCAGCTAAGCACTTTGCACAGCACCACCTCATTTAATTCTCACAAAACCCCCACAGAGAGTAGGAACTCTAATTACAGCCAGTATGATGGTCAGTTTTATGTGTCAATTTGGATTGGTGACAGTATCCTTACTCAGCACTTATCTAGGTATTGTACAGAGGTATTATGTAGATTCAATTAATATCTACAACTGGCTTTGTGTACAGATTACCCTGGATAATCTAGGTGAGCCTGATACTATCAGTTGAAAGGCCTTAACAGCCTTTGAGGTTTCCCTGAGAAGGAAGACATATACCACCAGTGGGCTGAAGCATCTGTTCCTGCCCAGAGGTTTCTCGCCAGCCCTTCCTGACAGCCTGACCTACTCATTTCAGACTTACTTAGCCAGCCTGCATGATCACATAAACCAATTCTTGCAATTAAAAAAAAAAAAAAATATATATATATATACACACATATATACCCACATAGGGACTTCCTGGTGGTCCAGTGGTTAAGAATCCAAGCTTCCACTGCAGGGGGCACTAAGATCGTGCATGCCACGTGGTGCAGCCAATATATATATATATACAATATATACACACACATACATAGATATAAAATTTTTTTAACCGGTTCTGCTTCTGGTGGAACCCTGACTGATAACAAGTATCACAGATTAAAAAAAAGAAAAATTGAGACTTTAGCTATTTGCTCAAAGGGACTCAAACTCAGATATGATTCAAAGCTCTAATGCTCTAATGAGCATTAACAAACAGTTAACACTTCTGAGAGTGAAAGGGGATGCTATTAATAATTATCCCAGGACAACAGGCATAAACCAGAACCACCCAGGGCAAACCTCAGCACAAGGCGGTTAAAACCAGCTGCACTGAACTGCCTCTTTCCCCTCTTACTACAGACATCCTCTGGGCTCCACACCCTGAAACAATTTTTTCCTTAACCTGCTTCCATCTCAAGCTTCCCTCTCTCCTTCCCATGGCTGAGCATCCATCAATGATACCCGCATAAAAAAAAAAACAAGGGTCTTTTTCTTGTAGCTTAGGCATGGCTGCTGGACATGACCGCCACTTAGAACTCTTTCTGCCCTTGGGTTCTGTGCTGGGGGTCCCTAGGATCACCCTTAGATTTGGAGATTCACTAGAAGGACTCAGAGAATTTGGCAGAGTCGGACTCAGAGCTAGTTTATTACAGCAATGCAGCGAGGGTATACAGCTGGATCTTAAGGGGAAAAGACACAGGGGGAGCCTAGAGGAATCCACCTGTGGGCTTTCTTAGGCTCTCACCCTCCCAAGAGGGGGTCAACAGAGCACATTCTTTCCCCCCGCAACAAAATGTAGCAACACATGTATGATGTTTCTGCCCAGGGAAGCCCTGGAGAGCTTCAGAGCCCAAGGTCTTTGCTGGGGGCCCGCCTTGCAAGCCCCCTCTGCTCAGCACTGTTCAACAGGGACACACAGTTTGTACAAAGAGCCCAGACTGAGCCCCATTTAGCTGTTAGGGAGGTGTGGAACACCCTGGAAATCCAGACACCGAGCCAAGAGCCACTCTTGCAAATGGGCCTATCTATGCTAACTCTTCCCTGCACAGATTTCCTGGTTCCCTGCTGCTCCAAACGGGGTCCTTTAACATGCTGCCACATCTCTGTCACCCTCCATTCGCGTTCTCAGTGACTCAGGCTTCTAACCAACCTCTATGTACAGTGATATCCAAACTAGCACCACTGCCCAGGGCCCAGGTTTCTAAGTCCCTCTTGGGAACCTAGGCACGCTAAGGCTACTTGACTTGTGGGTTAGGGAGCCCACAGCAGAGGGTTTTAACAAGAGAATATTAGGTTCCTTCCTTCTACCACTATCTGGTGGCATGCCTCCGTTTGCTCACAGTATAAAAGCAGGAGGTTGATTCCTATCTACTCTGAAACGCTATCCTTCCCTGATTTCCCCACCGAAGTCTTCCCCATCCCCTGACCTAATTCCAGACCCCATGGCCCTTCTCCTGGAGAGCACCCTGTTCCCAGGCTCCACAGCCATCACACTGGGCCCCGCCAACCCTAACGGTCAGGTGACTGTGAGCAGTATCTGGGACACTTCGGGGTGGGACAGGGCACCGGGGGCTGTGTCTAGGGGTGGGATGTCTCTGTTTCTAACCTCTGACCTCCTCCTCTGCCTTCTCCCCCAGCTCTGGTCCAGCCCCAAGAGCACAGGCACTAAAAGCCAGTTTGAGGAGTCCCGAGATAGGGAGGCCGGTAGACAGGAGAGCAGGGAAAGCCTGGAGCACCCCTGGGCCTGCCCCCACGCCCGCCTAGCCCAGGGAGCAGGCCTTGCTGCCCTCTCTCCCACCCGCCCCTACCCGCCCCTACCCCCGAAGGAGGCAGAGGTGTCTGTCCCTAGCTGATGCTCACACTGTAAACAAAAAAGTTTCTCCGTTTCCTGTACTGACTGTGAATCAAAAATGCGTCTCAAGGCAACAGCTCAAGGGAAGAGAGAGGGAGAAGCGCGGGGTGGGTGTTCCGGCCCGAAAAGCGGGGAGCCGGGCGCCCCGACGGCTGGGGACCTCCCCGTGCCCCCAGGCGGCGATCAGGCCTGGACAGAGGGGCCGGGACTCCGGGAGGGGGCGCCCCCCGAGGCTGCGCCTGCCGCCCCCCACCCCGCACCCCGAGATCTCTCGCTCGCGCCGCGGCCTCGCGGGGGTCTCCGCTTGGCGGGACTCGGCCCAGTCCCCGGGCCCGCGCTCACCTCCTCCCCGCCGTAGCGGGCCAGCTCCTCCTCCGTGAAGAGCCGCACCGGGGGACCCCGCTCGGCGGGACGCGGCGCCTGCCCGACCCCGGCTGCGGGGAGTCCCGCAGCCAGCGCCACGATCAGGGCCAGGGCGACCAGCCGCCGCCCCGGCGCGGGGCCCGCCATGGTGAGCGCGCCGAGCCGGGTCAGGGGCGGCCTGGGCGGTGGAGCCCGAGCGCGCCCGCCCCGCGGCCCCGGAGCCCCGCCCCGCGCGCTCCGGCCCAGCGCCTGGAGGCCCAGGAGCCTGGAGCCGGGAGCCGGACTCCGTGCCTGCCGTGCGCGGCGTCCCGCGCTCCGCCACTCGGACCCCGAGACCGGAAACTTGGAGTTGGGATGCTGGGGTCTACAAACTACAGACTGAAAATTTCTTCAAAGAGTGGCACGTGTCATAGCAGTGCCTTGTGTTTAGATTACAGAGTTGACCCAGCCCAGCATTCCAGCACCTAGGAAGATGTATTTATAACCTAGGACCCCAACTTTCTTAATTCATTTTTAGTTTGGGCTAATTTTTTTTCCTTCCTAGTTGTGTTTAAATTTCGGATCTCCGAAGGATTTTTGCAAAGGTTGGGCACATCAAAGACATACCCCGAAATAATAATGGCTAACATTTGTGCAAGGATTTATTTCTTCGTTGATTCAGCAAATGCTTTTTGAGGGTCTCCAGCTACCAGGTCACTGAAGAAGGCAGATCCACGCCCAACATAGCCTACATTCTATGGGTGAAATAGACAAAAGTAGCATGTTAGGTGGTGATGAATGCTCGAGAGGGGGGGAAATGGGCAACAGAATAGAGAGCATTGGGAATTGGAATTTTAAATAGGCTGACAGGGGGAAAGCCCCAGGGAAGACGGTATTTGTATAAACGTCTAGAGGAAATATGCTCAGATGATAAAGAATCCGCCTGCAATGCAAGAGACCCAGGTTCAATCCCTGGATGGGGAAGATCCCCTGGAGAAAGAAATGGCAACCCACTCCAGTATTCTTGCCTGGAGAATCCCATGGACAGAGGAGCCTGGCGGGCTACAGTCCATGGGGTCGCAAAGAGTTGGACACAGCTGAGCAACTAATGCACATACACACTTTGGGGAATGAGAGAGGCAGCCTGGAGGTGCGGGGAGCAATCCTTGCAAAGGAAAAACAGCAGAAATGCTGAGGGAGGAGAGTGTCCTGCTTGTTGGAGGAACAGCAAAGGGGGAAGAAGGGCAGGAGGTGAGTTCAGGGGGTAAGGGGGTATAGGGGGCTGGAGGCAAGGGGCAGATCATGTGGGGCCTCACAGCTTATTCTTTCTTTAATGACTTTGGCTTTTAGGCTGAGTGAATGGAAGAGAGGAATGAGTTAAAATGTTCATGGAATGACTTTGGCTGTCCTGTGTGGAGAAGAGACAGAAGTGGGAGCTACTGTTATAATCCAGGTGAAAGATGATGGTGATTTGGCCCCGGTCCGTAGCAAGGGAGGTGATGAGAAGTGGGTGGATCACGGATTTGTTTTGCATGTGTGGCTCACAGGATTTGCTGACAGATGAGACATGGGGTCTGAGAGACAGAGAGGAGCCAAGAATGACCCCGAGGGTTTTTGGCCTGGGCAGCAGAAGGATGGAGTCGCCACTTACTGAGATAAGGAGAGACGGTAGGAGGAACAGGTTTGGGTGAAGATCAAGATCAGGCGTGTTCACTCTGAGAACACTTAGACAGCCAGGTGGAAGTCTCAAATAGACAGTTGGCTGTGTGAGTCTGGAATTGGAGGGAGAGCTCAGGCTAGAGAGAGAAACTTTGGAACCCTTGGCATTTAGTTTGTATTTAAAGCCACGGAATGGATGAGATCATCAGGAAGGGCATGTAGACGGAAAGGAGGCAGGACCAAGGACTAAGTTCTTGGGGCGTGCCAACATTTGGTGGTTGGGAGAACCGGCCACCAAAGATGGGCTTGCTGTGTACCAAGCACTTTTACGGCTATTAGCTGATTTAATCCTCACTGTAACTCTATGAAGCTCCTCTGTCCATGGGATTTCTCAGGCAAGAAGGCTGGAGTGGGTTGCCATTTTCTTCTCCAGGGCATCTTCCAGACCCAGGAATTAAACCAGGGTTTCTGGCATTGCAGGCAGATTCTTTACCGACTGAGCTATGAGGGAATCCCACTGTTTGTACTAAGAGCTGTTGTTATCACACATTTTACAAAGGATGAAACTGAACTGTACAGCCCTTACGTGCCTTGCTCAGTGTCACACCGTAGGTGGAAGAGCCGAGATTCGAGTATGGGCCTGTGTCCCGGAGCCACCAGGCTACCCTCCCCTCCGTGACTGTGCCAAGTTCTCAGCCCTGCACTTCTTCAACGGAGTGGGCTTTGGTTACAGAGCAACCCAAACAGGGCCTGTCCACAAACCATCTGAATCTTAATTTCCACATCAGTAACATACCAGCCTACCTCCCAGGTAGGACTGTGTTGAAACTAAAAGTGATACAGGTGTGAAAATCTGTGTAAGCTGTGCAATATCTGTGTCACACCATGTCACCAGGTCTCCAGGTTAGAAGAGGCCCTGCTAAGCCCTTAGAATATCACCCCCTTCCTGAGGCATCTTGTTCCTTGGCATACAGGATGCAGCATCTCTGCTTGAGCGCTTTTCTCTCCCTACAATTGTATTGTTAGGAACTGCTCTGGGCCCAAGGAAACTCCCTATAATTTCTACTAATCAGATCTAGCTTCCCCATCTCAGAGACGCTGAGTGTGAGCTTATAATGTAATAGCATGTTCACATGCCCTTGGATTTCTCCAGGCATCCTCCTGGTTGCTCTTCCCTACTTGAACCCATGTTTGTTTTCCCAAACGAATCAGCCAGTGACCTTCAAGGAAAACAGAAACTACTTTATGGCTGTAATGTAGGGAGTTGGTTACATAGGTGAAGGAAGAGGCTAAGCAGCAACCCTGGGGGAGCCCAGAGATTAGTTCAGCAGGAAGATTGGTAACATCCGGGACTGTTTAGAGTTTAGGAGCCTGGGTCACCTGACTGAAGCTAGAACCTCACACAGAGACACACACACACACACAAAACGTTGGCATCAGGGCTAGAGCTGTGGAAGGGAAGCTGCTGGGGCAGAGCACACGGGAGAGAAAAACCCTGGCTTCTCTTTGCCCAGTTCTGCTCCAGGCTTCCAGCAGAGCTTCCTCTTGACTGAGCCCAGTGGAAAGCCAAGCATCAGGACCAGTCCCTGTAACCCAGAGCAGGAGAGGCAAGAAAGGGATCTGAGCGCAAACAAGTCCAGGATCAGCCCAATCCAGCCTCCACCGACCTGGCTCCTACCCGCTCATCTTGTTATCAAGTCCAAGCTCTCTCAGCTCACCGCATGACAGGCCAATGAATCTGAGAGACCAGGGGTTGAGGCGCGGAAGAGACCTTAATCCGGGAGCCAGCAGACCGAGAAGATGGCAGGCTAGTGCCTCAAAATGACCATCTTATTGGGGCCTGGATGCCAGGTTCTTTTGTAGAGTCAGAGAGAAAGAAGCAATGAGGAACTAAAGTCAAAAGGCAAAACAGAGAGGGAGAGGCAGTGGGGAAGTGAAAGGGTCTACAGTCTTGCAAAACATCTCCAAGGGAATGGCCAGCCTTCGGAAGGGGTGTTTTCATCTCTTTTATTCACAGGTGGGCAGGGACAAACCATCACTCCATGAGCTGAACAAAGGCACTTTAGTTTACAGTCTGGCAGAGTGGGCAGGGTCCTCCAGGCAAGACAGTAAGTATAATTATAATAACAAAAGCAAGAAAAGCAAGTCAAAGAAACAGTTTCCAACGTGGAGTCAGAATCGGCTTCCTTCCTGCAACCATCTGACTGCCTCCTAAAAGGCCCCTCCATCAGCCCCCTCCAGCGACATCACCTGTTTGGGTCCCAGCCTGGGCCTCCATACTGGGGTACAGGTCCTCATGGGCCTGGGGTGCAGGTCGTCAGGACCTTCTTGTCACTCAGGTCTCAGCTCACAGGAATCTACCATCTTGAGGCCTTTCTGGACTCCTCATGATCAGTGCCTCCTCCCACAGCCGCCCTGTCACTCGTATGCTATTCCCGTGTTCTCTTTTCCTTTATTTAGAGCTCTGGTCACTATGTGAAATTACTTTGTTCATTTCTTTATTCAACTACTCTGGGTACCAGCAACCACCAATCATATCCTTGTCAGAGGCCCTGGGATACAGAAATGAGCCAAACACATAAACACCTCATCTTCAAGGAGCTGAAACAGTACAAGGAGGGTGAAAATATTGGCGGCTAAAAAGTTCGTACGGGTTTTTCTGGACGCTGGTACAGAAAAATCCAGTCGACTGAAAAGTACTCACAGCTTAAAAGTTGAGAGTTCTGTTTCATTTGGTGGGAATTTTTAGGACTTGCAGCCCAGGAGATAGCATCTCAAGTGACTCTGGGAGAGCTGCTTTGAAGAGGCGAGGGGAGGAGCCAGGTTATGTGGAAGTTTTGCAACAAAGGGCAGGTAGTCTGAACATTAAAAGATGATTGTTAGTTAAAGAAAGCCAGATAACCCAATTAAGGAATATAGCTCTTTTCTATGTATGGGAAGATGGAAGATCTGGGCTCACTGAAATCATCCCTTTCATATGCACCCCAGCTATCTGGGGCCAGTTCCGGTATTTTCACATCCTATGCTTTCTTTTCTGCAGGTTTACCGTAGGAAGCGGCTGCAGTGTGATGGCTGCTAGATGGCAGGCCTTCTCCATCCTTAGTTCCCTTAGGGCTCACTGGCTCATTGGGGGAGCTGGAATGGCTGATGACTATGACATCCTTGCATTCTTGTTTACTGATATAGCAGGAAATATTCAATTTTTCAAAGACAGTATAAGAAATTCAGAAGGTGGTACATACTAGGGCAAAAAGTAAAGCCACGTAGGGGATGAGCTGGCAACAGGGTTTGCTGTTTTAACAGGGTGCTCAGAGGAGGTGATACTGATCTAGATAAGGAGATACTGGGAGAAAGACCTGAAGGCAGTGAGGAAGTGAGTCATAGAGTTCCCAGGATTAGAGCAGTCCCAGAACAGGGAACAGCCACTGCAAGTCTCTTAGGCTCAGCATGTTAAGGTGAGGAGAGAGAGGGTGAGGGGAGGAATAACAGACAAGGTAGGCACTGCAGGACAGATCCTACAGTGCCTGGTAGGTCCCTGTCAGGACTCTGGCTTTGGAGGAAGAGAAGCAGGGGAGTGACGTGATCTGCCTTTGTCTAGCAGGCTCTCCCTGACAGCTGTGTTGGGAATTGGCCGTGGTTGTAGCCAGGGTGGAAATAGAGAGGATCAGTTAGGAGGCAACTGAAAATAACCACGAGAAATGCTGGTGGTTTGTGCCATGATGGTGATGATGGAGGTGATGGAAAGGGGCCAGATTCTGAATAAAGTAGAGTCAGCAGGATTTGCTGACTTAGATGTGGAGTGTAAGAAGAAGAAAAGAACCAAGGATGACTCCAGAGTTTGACCAAAGCAAATGGGAGGATGGAGTTTATGACATTGAGGAAGCTTGAGAGGGGAGTGGGTTTGGGATAGGAAGAGCAACAGTTCCACTTAAAGCTTGCAGTAAACACTGACACCAATACACCATATCCTCACAGTGTGCTAGGTGGGATTCCAAGTACTTTACAACTGATGACTCACTGAATCCTTCAGAACTGTAGGGGCAGGTAGTGATATTCCTATTTTTCATGGAAGGTAATGGATGCACAGAGAGATTAAATAAAGTTCCCATTCAGTAAGTGGCAGAACCAAGACTTAGAACCAGGTTACTCTCTGCTGTTGCCAGGTGGACATCCAGTGGAGAAGTTGCTTAGGCACCCTGACGGGTGAGCCTGAGCTTAGGGGAGAGCTGGAGGCTGGAGATGTGCATTTGAATTCACTTGGAATACAAAATTCACACTAGAATTGTGCTCTATTCCTAAGGCTGCTATATCAAAATGTCACAGACTTGGTTGCTTAAAATAACAGAAATGTATCCTATCATGGTTCTGGAGGCTAGAAGTCCAAAATCAAGGTGTCAGCTAGGTCATGCTCCCTCCAAGACTCTAGATAGAATCCTTAATTGCCTCTTCTTATCCTCTGTTGGTGGCTGGCAATCCTCGGGATACTGCTCATTGCCTGACTAAGGACGGAGCCTGGCCTCCTGAACCATGCACCAGCAGGTGAATTACAGCTCACCATGGACTACAATTGCATCGGGCATTCTCCTGGTGTGTGTATCTTGATATCCTCTTCCATCTTCCTGTAAGGTCACAGGTTATAATAGATGAAGGGATTGCCTTGCTTAGCACGACCTCATCTTAACTAATGACATCTGCCACAATCCTATTTCCAAGTAAGGTTACATTCTGGGATACCAGGAGTTAGGACTTCCATGTATCTTTTGGAGGAACACAATTCAACCCATAACAGGAATTTGTAGGGTATAGGTGGTAATTCAAGTCATGAGACTACAGGAGACCACTTTATTAGTCCCTTGGGAGTGAGAAGAAAGATCAAAGACCTAGCCTGAGGAAGGCCACCCTGTAGAGTTGAGGGGATGAGGAGAAATCAGCAAAAAGGCATCTGGAGAAGGAGCAGCAAGTGAGGTGGGAGGCAAAATGGGAGTATGTGGTGTCCTGAAGCCAGAGGCAGAAAATGTACAAGAAGGAAGGAGGATGAGCTAGGCCAATGTAGTCAATAGATCGAGAGAGAAGAGGATGGGAAAATGGCCATCTGATTTGACAACTCAGAGGTCAGACCTTAATAAGCACCCTTTCAGTGGAGTGGAGAACATAAAAGCCTGATTGATATGTGTTCATGTGGAAATGGGAGGAGAGGACTCAGGGACAGCAAGTATAGAAAATTCCATTTATATGTGCATGGTCTGTTTCTCGACTCTAGCATGGAAGAGCCACGAGAGCAAGGACCTTGGAGTACCCTATTCATGTCTATATCCCAGTGCTGACCACACTGTATTAATATTAAATACTTAACAACAATATTTAAATAATATTTAAATATTTAACAGCAATATTTAAATAATATTTAAATATGTAATAACAATATTTAAATAATATTTAAATATGTAATAACAATATTTAAATATTTAAACAATATTTAAATATTGTATTAATCAGTATCTCCTTCAAATGCAGGAACCCATCATTTTCCAGTCTGGTCATATACCAACAGAGTAGAGAGAAATGAGGGCTGGACTGGACTTCTCTGGTTCCTTCTACTTATACATTTCTATGAATTCATGATTTGTTCTATCAACCCCCCCTTGTAGTAATGTAGTAAGGCATTTAATGAGTTGTTCATTATTGCCTATTTGTTTTGGTAAGCAACTGTTAAATGAAATGGCTGGAATAAGTGTTCCATTCATAAACCTAACACGTATTTGCTGATTGCCTACATTATGTTAGGTGCTATATATATTGTCCCATTTGATGATGTGAGAGGGGAGTTGGTGATGGACAGGGAAGCCTGGCATGCTGCAGTCCTTGGGGTCTTAAAGAGTCAGACACGACTGAGCGACTGAGCTGAACTGAGAGGGCCTAGGCTGGGGTGGAGTGGTCAGAAGAGGTGGTGGAGGCCCCCCACTAGGAACACTGGAGATTCAGGACGCTCTGATGTGGCTGGTGCTACGGTGGTTGCCACTGAGGAGGCCCTGCATGGCCTGCGTGCAGGGGTCTGTAGAGTTGCAGCTGCACAGAACACAGGGCAAACATTCACCAAGGCGTAAGCACCTTCTAACCGCTGCACTGCTGAGCAGCCCAGGGCACCTCACAGAACAGCTGTTCCGGCAGTGGGAGGAGGGGAAGATGTGAGTCCCACCAGCTACAGGGCAAACACCCAATTTTCCACCACATTCAGGGCAGGAGGCTTTTGCTGCTGCAAGCAGCACATTTGGGTTTTGCTGCATGACCTATTTTGATTCAAAGAAGGACCTAGGAAGCAGGTAGCGTTTAGTAGTTGCATTCTAAGGCAAACAGAGGACCGCTCAGACCTGTGGGAGAGGGGCAGAGAGCCAGGATGAGAATCTAGAGGTCCTGACTCCATGGGTTTGGCCCAGGAATAATGAAAGAACTGGTTTCTGTTGCTTGTTCCTGGGTTAAATAATCTTCATTTGTTTATGGCCTTTTCCCCATCCTTTCTGAAACAAGGTACCTCAGTTTCCTTATTTGTAAAACAGAAAGAAAAATGCCCTTCTTACAGGGTTCCTCGTGGTATAAATGGCATAATGGCCGTGAACTTGCTCGGTAACAATTTGCTCTGCAGATATTTACAACAGTAATAAACCACCAGGCCAGGCTTCCTCTTGCAATTATAGATTAGGATCTCCTACCCGTCTGAGTTGGCCCCCTTGTTCCACTTTCCACTCATCTTCTCCGCCCTTCCCCCTCCAATAAAGAGAGGAAGTAAGAGATGAGGAAAGCACGTGCGTCTAATGAGCGGGTGAACGAGTGGCTCTGGGTAACCCACAGGCTTTGTTGTCACAGGAAAGCGGACCGCGGTCCCCTGCATCTGGTTCCATCATTTCATGCCAAATAGATGGGGAATCAATGGAAACAGTGACAGACTTTATTTGGGGGGGCTCCAAAATCACTGCAGATGGTGACTGCAGCCTTGAAATTAAAAGACTTGCTCCTTGGAAGAAAAATTATGACCAACCTGCTTTATTAAAAAGCAGAGACTTTACTTTGCCAACAAAGATTCGTCTAGTCAAAGCTATGGTTCTTCCAGTAGTCATGTATGGATGTGAGAGCTTTCTTTCTATAAAGAAAGCTGAGTGCTGAAGAAGTGATGCTTTTGAACTGTGGTGTTGGAGAAGACTCTTGAGAGTCCCTTAGACAGCAAGGAGGTCCAACCAGTCCATCCTAAAGGAAATAAGTCCTGAATATTTATTTGAAGAACCGATGCTGAAGCTGAAGCTCCAATACTTTGGCCACCTGATGCGAAGAACTGACTCATTGGAAAAGACCCTGATGCTGGGAAGGATTGAAGGCGGGAGAAGAGGACGACAGAGGATGAGATGGCTGTATGGCATCACCGACTCAGTGGACATGAGTTTGGGTAAACTCTGGCAGTTGGTGATGGACAGGGAAGCCTGGCGTGCTGTGGTCCATGGGGTTGCAAAGAGTCGGACACGACTGAACGGAACTGTCCTCCGCCTAGAACTACATTTCCCAGCAAGCCTTTCGCGGCCCCGGCGTCCGTGGGGCGCGAGGCGCAGGACCGAGTGTGGCCCCGCCTTGGTCACGAAACCGCTCCTCTCTCCGAACAGGTTTCGCGTCGCCGCCGAGAGCCGGCGAACCTCGGGACCGCGGCGGCCGTTCTCGGAGAGCTGCCTCTCGCGAAGTCGAGCGCGCTCAGGTGTGCCTTAGCTCCGGTCACGGCCATGATCCGCCAGGAGCTCTCCACATCCTACCAGGAGGTACGCGCACGGCAGTGGCGGGGAGGGCGCGACAGCACAGTTTGCCGCGAGGCGGAGCGGGTCTCGGGGGTCTGGGCGTTTTCTGGGGTCCCTGGGGTGGGGGGCGTCCGGGCGGGCAGAGCGCGCCGCCGAGGAGCGGTCGGGGGAGGGGTCCCCCCGCGTGCTGAGCTGCGGCGGAGCAGGAAGGAAGCGGGGCGGGGAGCCTCCTCTGGACGCGGCGGTCGCTGGGCGGAAGGATAGAACGTTGGGGTCCCGGAACCGCGACCCGTAACCAGCCGGTGAAGGATTAAAAGCCTCGTCCGGACCCGGGCGGCAGCGCGGCCCGCCGGGCAGCACCCCGGGTCGCCTCGAGGACCTTGCAACAAGTGGAAGCACCCGCGCCCTTCTTCCTCCCCGGCCGGAGTAGAGGCGCGCTGGGCGGCAGCCCCCTACACGCCCAGGGCCTCGTGGCCCCTCAGCTGCTAGCGGTAGCGATCATCACTGCCCGTCTGAGTGGCCAGCAAGCTTTGAGAATGTGCCTTCTCCCACAGAGCTGCTGCTCCCTCCGCTCCGTTTCTCTCTCCTGTCTCACCTCCTCCCACGACTGTAACTCTCACGTTCCAGTTCTTTGTCTCTGTTTTTGCCTGTCCTGAGCTACCGACGAGCGGTTCCAGCTCTTCCCCCAGACCAGCTTCTCCTTCTGACTCCAGCTCTCCTGTTCCTCCTCCAGGGTCCCAAACCCTGGTCCTCTCCGGTACTCTCCTCTCTCGTGCCCCTCACCGTGCCCCCTCCCTTGGCAAGGCAGGCAGCTTACATCCTCCATCCTCAGGTTTGTGTCCCTGAGTCTGCCCTGATCAGCGCTCCCTGTTTGGTGTCTTCCATGCTGTGCACATTTGTTCAGGGTCCTACCTTGACCCTGGGCTGGTAAAGAATCCTCCTGCAATGCGGGAGACCTGGCTTCTATCCCTGGGTTGGGAAGATTCCCTGGAGGAGGGAACAACTACCCATTCCAGTATTCTGGCCTGGAGAATTCCGTGGACTGTATGGTCCATGGGGTGAGTCGGACACGACTGAGCGACTTTCACTTCACTACCTTAATTCCAGAACATCCGTTTATACATACACCTGATGCTGGCACTGGTCTGCTCAGAACAGTCCAGACTTCTTAGCAAGCTCTGACAGCCCAGCAGCCCGTATCACATCACCATCTCCTCACCCACCTAGGTTCTGACCATACTGGAAACTCACCATTTCAAAATATGTTCCTGCTATGCTTGTGCTCATACTGCTTCTTCAAGTCCTTTGGTTAAAATTCCCTTTTTTTACAAGGAGGGATCTCAAATCTCACGTGCTCCATGCAGTCTGACTTTCCAAACTAGTCTGAAGTTTCTGTCAGTCCCTCTCTTGGGAGCCGCTGCTGCCTTGAGCAATACTGATCAATACTCATGTACATTTCACCCTTTGTAAATGATACTGTGTGGAGTCTGTAAAGCAGATGGCTTCCCCTATAGTAGAAAGGGAAGCCAAGTTGAAAACAAGTTATATATTTGCCTGCGGTTTACCATTTTTTAATGCAGTATCCGAGCTAGAATCTGACTTTGGGACAAATTTCTGTGTTTCTCCTACCATTTCCTTTATCCCAAAGGAGCCTGTTGGATTTTAGCCAGTGCTAGGGATTTTGTGGCCCCTAGATTCTGCACCCGAGGCAGTGAGGGAATCCTGGGGAATGAGTTGTGTCTTTTTCTGACTCTGCAAGTTTTCAGGTTTATAGGGAATAGAGCATAATGGATAAATACTAGGACTTAAAAATGTTTTTGATTTATTTATTTTTGGCTCTGCTGGGTCTTCGTTGCTGTGCGTGCTTTCTCTAGTTGCGGTGAGTGGGGGCTACTGTTGGTTGCAGTGCACAGGCTTCTCATTTCGGGGGCTTCTCTTGTTGCCGAGCACAGGCTGTAGGCCGCGTGGGCTCAGTGGTTGCGGCTTCTGGGCTTTAGAGCACAGGCCCAGTTGTCGTGGTGCACGGGCTTAGTTGTTCCTTGGCATGTGGAATCTTCTCCAACGAGGGATCGTACCTGTGCATTGGCAGGTATATACTCCTTGGCATGTGGAATCTTCTCCAACGAGGGATCGTACCTGTGCATTGGCAGGTATATACTTCACCACCGAGCCACCAGGGAACCCCAAATACTAGGACTTTTAAGTAAAAAAGCCCGAGTTCCTATCCTTGCCTTGCCTCTTGCCATTTGTGTGACTTTTGTCAAGTCATTTCTCTGAGCCTCCAGTTTATCTGTAAAATGAAGGTAATGGTAGTCCTTATCTCATGGGCTGTGAGGATTAGCTGAGTTGGTATGTAGGGTGCTTAGCTCAGTGCCTGCCAGTAGTGGCCCCTCAGTGGATGTTAGTTCTTGTTAACAGGGTGTGGGCAGCTCCTGCTTCTGGGAAGCTTTGGGGTCCTGGTTTACAGGACCTTGTCCCTCATCATCTGCATGTAAACTCTACCGTCCCCTTCTCAAGCAAGGCTCCTAACACGTTTGCTAAAACAGAGACAGTTATCCTGCTTGCAGGGCCAAGGGTGGATTCAGTTTCTGTTGCCCCATGGTGGGAGACACTGGAAGGACTCCTTCCCTTGCCTTCCTCAGTGGCCCATTCTGAGGGTCCTGTCTCACCTTCAGAAGAAGCGGCCTCCTGACTCTTGTAGGCATCATGCTGGAGAACTTGGCCAGGGTCGGGCAAGGAGGTGGGTTTGTTATGGCTTTAGGTAGTTAGGAGGGGACCTGGGTTAGGGGCCTGTTAGGGTTATAGGCCAGAGAAGGCAATGGCACCCCACTCCAGTACTCTTGCCTGGAAAGTCCTGGATGGAGGAGCCTGGTGGGCTGCAGTCCATGGGGTCGCAAATAGTCGGACACGACTGAGCAACTTCACTCTCACTTTTCACTTTCATGCATTGGAGAAGGAAATGGCAACCCACTCCAGTGTTCTTGCCTGGAGAATCCCAGGGATGGCAGAGCCTGGTGGGCTGCCGTCTGTGGGGTCGCACAGAGTCAGACACGACTGAAGTGACTTAGCAGCAGCAGCAGCAGCAGCAGCAGCAGCAGCAGGGTTGTAGGCTGAACTTGTGTGAAGCTTGGATGCTAGAGTGCTGGGCCTTTCCAGGACTTTCCCTTTGGCCAGGGGGACCCTGGGGTCCTCTTGGTCTGTGTTCCCACTGGGGGCCTGGGTCTCCTGGTATCTTCTTTAAGCTCCTAGCCTGCCGGGGTCCAGCCCCAGCAGGATCCAGGGGAACCCTCAGGATGAACGGCGTCGGCGAATGAGAAAGAGAGAGAGAGAGAGGGAGAGAGACCAGACCAGGATATGTGGCAGAGTCTGGCAGTTGCTTTATTTTTCACCATCGCCTTTATACCCTAAGTTGGTACCTTTCTAAGGGGCAGATAAGCACACAGACTTAGTTTAACGTTACATCAGCTTGTCCTTCAGGAAACCAGGTGTGCTCTGTATATTTTTGTTTATGAGCGTCTTTTCCCATAGATTTTTTGTACATTATCTTCTGGCCTTGAGGTTAGCAGAAAACAGAAAAGTGGCAGTCTCATGGTGCAGCAAATCGCAACATAATAGAAATACAATCCTGTTAACATAAAAGTCAGTCTTTTTGCAGAAATTCTCAGCTAAATTTATCTAAAAAGTTTAGCACACAAAGACTGTGGCTCTGGTGAGGCAGCCCCTGTTTAGCACTCCTGGTTAAAGTTAACAATTATCTTATTGTTTTTACACTAGGGCTAAACTCTTATTTTACTATATCTTTAACTATATTAATAATAGTTTCCACTGCACAACCTCAGCACATTAACATCAATCAAATGTTGATCTAATAACCACTTTTAAAACAATATTTTTTGTATTCTCTAATAGGGCTTCCCTGCACCCCCAAAGGGCTCTGTGCCTATTAGGGCCCTTTTTATGGTTAATCTCTATGTATAATATCTTCTGGCTTTCAGGCCTGTTGACAATTTATGGCTTGCACCTAGTGCAACTTTAAGCAACTTTAGTAGCTGACCCTGTCTTTTTTGTGGTTAATCTATTTTCTTTCTATTAGGTGTCATCTCCAAGGGAGCTAGATAGGATTACAGTTTTTACAGAACAGAAATGCAGAGGGCTGCAAAAGCAGCAGATATGGCACAAAACAGGCTCATAGTCCAAAAGTTAATTACCTGCAAGAAGTCACCAGCTAATCTCTATCTAAACTATTTTCTATTAGGCACATATGTGGCTATAACATTTTGGGGGCTTTTTTCACCCCGCAGAGGGACCTATGTTTAATAGTTTCTTTTGTTAGTATACTGTGCTTAGGATGTTTAGAACAATCATGAGCATTTTTTGCAATAAGAGCACACATTTATCAAACAAGCCAGAATGCCAGCAAAAGGGTTTGAATTGAATCATTTCCTTCATCCCTGGCCCCTTCATAGGGTACCAGCGTCCAGGAGATTTATTAATTAGCTTTTAAGTTGGTCTTCATTCAGTGAAAGAGGAGCAGGAGAGCTCTCGGCAGGCAACACAAGAATCCTCAGCAGGGCAAACAAGAACAACAGCAGAAAAAGAGGGGAGGATACAGGGTAGGGTAGAGGCGAGGCCAACCTGGAGGGTCCCTTATCCTAGATGGCCTTGCCTGTCAGGTTTTTTCCTCGTGACCTCGTCATGGATGGGGTCCCGGACGGCCTTGCCTGCCTGGTATTTTCTTCATGACCTCGTCACGGGCAGGACCTCCCCACGGGCGGGACCTCCCATAACAGCTCCCAGCATCAGCCCTCTTTCATGTGCTGGTTTTCCTTTTCTTTTGGGCTTGGAACGCTTTAAACTATAAGTTTTCCCTGATCCTAAAAGGGCAGATGTGGAGGAGGAGATGGAAGAGTATTAGGTACATAAGAGCTTTATTTTAGCTCAAGTCTCATAGAGATGAATTTTTAATGAAAATGTCTTAAGGGACTTCCCTAGTGGTCCAGAGGTTAAGAATCCACCTGCCAATGCAGGAGACACAGGTTCGATCCCTGGTCCGGGCGGATCCCACGTGCCACGGAGCAACTAAGCTCGTGCGCTGCAACTACTGAGCCCGTGTGCCTAGAGCCTGTGATCTGGAACAAGAAAAGCCTCTGCGATAAGAAGCCCACGCAGCACGACTGGAGAGTAGCCCTCACTTGCTGCAACTAGAGAAAAAGCCTGAGCAGCCGTGAAGTCCCAGCATAGCCAGAAATAAATACATAAGTAAAATTTTTTTTAATGAGAAAAAATATTTTAAAAAAAGAGAAAATATCTTGAGACCTTGAATGTTGACATTGTGAACCTAAGAAAACACTGGGGAAATCTATTCCCACCCCCACCCTCCCAATCCAGGGGATTGCTGGCTGCTACCTGGAGTGAGACACTCTAGTCTTGGTGTTTCTTGCTCTTCTCCTTGATACTTGGAGCCTTGTCGGTTATCACCGTATCATTGTCCCCATTTGACAGGTGAGAACACTGAGGCAGTGAGGTGGAGGTTGCCTGCTCTGAGCCTGCTCATTAGCACCTGTCTCTGCAGCACTTTGTTCTGCATTTGCAGCCTGAGTTGGTGGACTTTAGCTCCACGCCAGCTTCACTGTTCCATCTTCTGCCTCAGCAGACGCTAAGCTTGCATTTCCTCCTCCTCCGGAAAGTGATTAAGAGCGTGGGTTTTGGAACTAGACTAACTTGGATTTGGCTCCTGTCTCTGTGGCCGTGGAAATTCTTGTGAGTTGAATTGTGTTCCCTGAAAAGATACGTTGACGTCCTCACCCCCAGCACCTCAGAGAGTGACCTTATTTGGAAAGAGGGTTATTGCAGATGTACTTAGTTAAGACGAGGTTGTACTGGGGGAAAATGGCCCTAAATCAGCATGCTTGGTATTCTTACTAGAAGGATGACTGTGTGGAGACACAGACTCCATGTGACGGTGGAGACAGTGTGGAGAGTGGATGCATCTACAAGCCAAGGAGCATGAGGAATTGCTGGCGTTACCTGGAGCTAGAAGAGAGGCATGGAAGAGGTCCTCCGCCCCAGCCTTCAGAAGGAACCAGCCCTGCCGTCACTTCGACTTCGGCTTGCTAGCCTCCATAACTATGAGAGGATAAGTTCCTGTTGTTTTCAGCCAGCTCGTTTGTGGCTTTGTTATGGCAGCCCTGGAAGGCTAACATATAAGAAGTTATTTGAAATTCCTGAGCTTCGTTGTGTTCATCTGTAGAGCTGGTATAACATACCCTGCATCATGGGCTTCCCTGGTGGCGTTAGTGGTAAAGAACCCGCCTGCCCATTCAGGAGATGTAAAGAGACACGGTTCGATCCCTGGGTCGGGAAGATCCCCTAGAAGAGGGCCTGGCAACCTAGTGCAGTATTCTTGCCTGGAAAACCCCATGGACAGAGGAACTTGTCTTTGGGGTTGCAAAGAGTCGGATAGGACTGAAGTGACTTCACATGCACGCATGCACATACCCTGCAACGTATGATCCTCTATTTTTTTGGTGATAATTAAGTGAGAAGCAGCCTCTGCTTTCTTATTTTAGTCCAGAAAGGCCAAGCTGATAGAGCTGACGGCTTTGTGCTCTTTGTTCCCGTCTTTAGCTGAGTGAGGAGCTGGATCAGGTGGTTGAGAACTCGGAGCAGGCGGACGAGCGGGACAAGGAGACGGTCAAAGTCCAGGGTCCAGGGATCTTGCCAGGTAAGTGGATTCAGTGCTGGGGGTGGACGTGCCCCATGCTGAGCCCTTGCTGCAGCTGTAGGCCACAGTCCAGCCGGATCCCTGCCCCGTGTCGGATCTCCAGTATCACCCTCATTTTGCAGCCATACATATTTAACCAGCCTCCGGACAGAGGATGTGGTCATGCCGGCATCCGCTCTTTTCTGTCCTCTGGTTTGAGCCAGATCCCGAGGCCTGGTCATTGAATACAGTGGCAGGGACTTTGGGTCTCTGCTTTTCTGTTTTTTCCCCCTGGGAAGCTGTTGGCAGTTGAGCCTCTGATACCTGGGTCACTTCCCAGGGTCCTCTGGGAGATTTATCTGGTAGGCTCACGTCTCCGACAAGAGGCCTCTCCAGTTTCGTCGCCCCCCAGCTCGCTGGTCCATCAGTACGGTGGCATCCTGCAGAGCCTGGCAGTGACAGCGTCTGCTACGTCCGCCCCTGTTCGTCCTGCCCGCACTCTGCTCCTTAGCTGCCATCATGTGACACTGTGCTGCTCAGACTGCTCCTTGCAGCCCCTTTTGCAGTCACCCTCCCGCTCTTGGGCATTAAATATTTGCCAGAGGCCCCTTCTTCCAGTCTCTGGTGGGTATCCTCACCCAAGCCCCCTCCCCTGCTTCAGTCACTGTTTGCTCACACGTGTCTGCTGTGGTTTTATCTCTGGCCCAGAAGTACCTTTTTACATATGCTGTACCCTGATTCCCAGGCGATGGTTCTGCCTAGATGTCCCAAAGTTCCCCCGAAGTCCACACGTCCAAAGTTGACCTCATGGTTTCCCCACTGCCAGCTTGACCCTCTCCCAGTGTTTCCTGTTTCCAGGGACAATGCCAGCACCACCCAGCTGGACCCTAGAGTCATTCTTTTCTCCTTCCTTCTCCGCTTCCCCGTTTTCACTGCCCCTTGACCCTGCTGGGGTTTTACTTCAGGCCTCGCTCCAGGCTTTTTTGTTGTTTTTTTCCTCTGCCTGGAGTTCTCTTCTGTCTGTCATCTAGTTAACGCATAATCATCTTTCAGCTGTCAGCTCACTTTTTTTTTTCCTGCAAAGCCTTGTCTGACTGCCTGGCTAGATCATGTCCACTGTCACTGGTAATCTCTGCGTCTCTGGCTTGCAACTGTCACTGATGGATAGTGTAAGAGTTTGCCTGACTGTTGGATTAATGTCTGTGTAGTCTACTAGACTCTAAACCCCACCAAGGTAGAAACCAGTCCTTTTTGCTTCCCCACTCAGCCCTGAGTGGGGAATGAGTGAGTGAATGAGTGAGTGGAGTCCCACCTGACTCCAGCTTCTTGGGTGGATTGAGGGAGGTGGGGTTCTGCTCCTCTGGATTCCCATATTTGGAGGGGTGGGGATGGGATCGGAAATTCTGTGGTTGTGTCTAATCCTTAGAGAAGACTTTGTAGAAGGAAAGAGGCAGGAAGGGCAGCTAACATTTACTGACTGTTTCCCCCAGGCCAGGCTCTGTCATCCCCATGGCCATCTAATTCTCATGACAGCCCTGTGAGGCAGTCATCCTCTTGATTCCACTTGAGGCCCTACAGCTCAGGGAGGTTAAGTGCATTGTGGGAGAATCTTGAAGCTGGCCTGCAAACTGACTGCATCAGGCTCTGTCTGACCCCAGATGCTTTCTACTGACCTGTGATGGTTTGAAAAAATAATTTACGCATCCTTCTATTAAATTCCAATGTGCTAAAGGTAGTAGCAGGACTGCCCCCACTCTGACTCTGGACATTGCCTCCGAAGCCCTAAGGTCCTAGGGAGAGGGTTTTGAAAGCCTTGTGTATTAGTTTCTATCTTTTCTGTAACAAATTACCACAAACTTAGTGACTTAAAACAGCTCAGATTTATTATCTGACAGTCTTGGAGGTCAGAAGTCCAAAATGAGTCTCCCTGGGCTAAAGTTAAGGTGTCAGCAGGCCTCAATTCCTTTCTGGAGGCTCCAGAGAAGAATCTATTTTAGTGCCTTTTCCAGCGTCTCAAGGCCTCCTGCCTTCCTCAGCTCATGTCCCTTCTTCCACCTTCAGGTCTTTCTCAGATCTCCTCGTTCTGACACTGACTTCTGCCTCCCTCTTCCATGTTTAATGAGCCCTTGTGATTATACTGGACCCATCCAGGTAATCCAGAATCATTTCACTTCCCTGTTGTTGTTTTTTAATTAGTTGTCTATGTATTTTTTGGTTGTGCTGGGTGTTCGTTGCTGCATGTGGACTTTCTCTAGTTGCGGTGAGTAGGGGCTACTCTTTGTGGCACTGACAGGCTTCTCTTTGCAGTGGCTTCTCTTGTTTTTGAGCACAGGCTCTAGATGCATGAGCTTTCGTAGTTGGCGGCTTGCGGGCCCCAGAGCACGTGGGCTTCAGTAGTTGTGGCGCACAGGCTCGGTTGCCCCAAGGCATGTGGGATCTTCCTGGACCAGGGGTTGAACTCACGTCCCCTGAATTGGCAGGCGGACTCCTACCCACTGACTAGAAAGTCCCATTTCCCCATTTTAAGTTCAGATAATCAGCAACTATAATCCCGTCTCTGCCCTGTAACTTGACATAATCACAGGTTCCAAGCTTGAGGACATGGACACCTTTGGTGGGTCATTATTTTGCCTGCTGCGCCCTGCACAGCCCTCTTGCCCCAAGGCAGAAGAGGATGGCTGGAGGCAGCAGGAAGAGGATGGAGGCCAGACTTGGAAAGATGAAGTTTCCTGTTGTGTTTCCTTTCAGAGATAAATGCCAGGCAAATGAGGACGTGGCCATGACGACCTTCAACCTTAGCAGCCTCTCCTTCTGCCTCAGATTCCTGGGGCCTCAAAGCCCGGTCAGAGCAGGAAGCCAGCCCCCAGGCAGGCGGATTTTGAGTAGTTGGTTGGCCAGCAAGAGCCTTCCCTGCTGTTGGGGGAACTCGGCTGGATGCATGTCCTGTTTAGACCGTAGACAGTCCGGTGCTCAGAAGTCCCTTTAGCCGGTCTCAATAGTGACTTTGGCGATGTGGTGTACGGTTTTCTGAGCTCATGGGGTGCCTCTGAGTCCCCTCACGGTAATAAAACTAATGGTACTGACGACAACAGCCACACTGGCTAGGTGCTCTCCTGCACCAGGCCTGGGTGGGGCTTTCTATATAGACTTGATCACTACTTTATAATCCTCCTAGCCACTCTCTGAGGGAGATGTTTAGTCCCAGTTGATAGACACACCCGGATCACAGAGAGGTACTGTGCTCCAACTGAATGAATGGCAGGGCTCGCGATGAACCCAGGCCTGTCTCTCTGAATGTATTCTGACTCTGGCTCAGTTGTTCCTGGATGAGGTGCTTTCTTGTCCTGAACTCCTGCCCATCATCCGCCAGAGTCACTCACGGACTCGGACTCCTTCATCTTTGCGCCAAATGCCAAAACCACAAAGAAGGGGCGTGAGACATGGCCTGCTTCCAGGATTTCAGGCCATGTGGAGAGAGAAGGTGGGTTACCCCGAGAAGAACTTAACCCTCCTACAGAGCCTGCCCTGAACAACCGAATGGGGTGGGTTTCTCCCTGTTGCCTGCTTTCCTAGTGTTCATTACTTTTCTTTTGTAGCACAGCTGGGAAGGCATGTTTATAGACTGTAATTCTTTAGCTGTGTCAACCCCATGGGCCTACCCCTGAGTTCTGTGAGGCACGAAGGTTTGTCCCCTCTCTACCTTCACTGTAATTACAGTGCTTAGTAGCCTGGCCCTCTCTAGGAGCTCCATGTATATCAGTGCTCTGGGAGAGGGAGGTGGGGATTTAGAGCAGGAAAGTATCTTATATCTAAGCCAACTTGAATGAATGAGTGAACAAAGGCCAAAGAAATGCTGGAGACAGGGGCTTCAGGAATGAGTGAACGAGGGCTGGTTGGTGAAGGAAATGGGATTAATCCGAAGGAAGGGTGATGTATGGGTGGAAAAGAAGGGCCAGCCCGAGAGGAGGGGTGGCATGTGCAAACACACAGAGGTGGAATGAAAATAGGGTGTTTTAGCACCAGTGGAAAGCAAGCGGTTGGAATAGAAGGTGGGAGGTGAGGTAGGAAAGCTTGGCTGGGTCAGACTGGGGCAGGGTTTCAGCATTGGGGGATTTTGGCTTTCTCTAGGGAGCAGCAGTATTTAAAGGAATTAGAACAGAACAGTAAGAAATGAAGTGGGCATTTAAGGAAGATAAGTGTGCCAGAGTGTGGGGCTAGATTAAGGTGAAGCAAGCCAACTGTGGAAAATTCTTAAGGAGATGAAATACCAGCCCACCTTACCTGCCTCTTGAAAAATCTGTATGCAGGTCAGGAAGCAACAGTTAAAACTGGACATGGAACAATAGACTGGTTCCAAATCGGGAAAGGAATATAAGCAGGCTGTATATTGTCACTGTGCTTATTTAACTTTATGCAGAGTGCATCATGAGAAACCCTGGGTGGGAGGAAGCACAAGCTGGAATTGAGATTGCAGGGGGAAATATCAATAACCTCAGATATGCAGATGACATCACCATTATGGCAGAAAGTGAAGAAGAACTAAAAAGCCTCTTGATGAAAGTGAAAGAGGAGAGTGACAAAGTTGGCTTAAAACTCAACATTCAGAAAACTAAGATCATGGCATCCGGTCCTATCACTTCATGGCAAATAGATCAGGAAGCAATGGAAACAGTGAGAGACTTTATTTTTGGGTTCCAAAATCACTGCAGATGGTGACTGCAGCCATGAAATTGAAAGACGCTTCCTTGGAAGGAAAGCTGTAACCAACCTAGACAGCATATTAAAAAGCAGAGACATTACTTTGCTAACAAAGGTCCATCTAGTCAAAGCTATGGTTTTTTCAGTAGTCGTGTGTGGACGTATGAGTTGGACCATAAAGAAAACTGAGTGCCAAAGAATTGATGCTTTAGAAGTGTGATGTTGTAGAGACTCTTGAGAGTCCCTTGGACTGCAAGGAGATCAAACTAGTCAGTTCTAAAGGAAATCAGTCCTGAAAATTCATTGGAAAGACTGATGCTGAT